CTGTGATATCAGAAAGGTCTTACCAAAACTTTTTTTTTTCCTTAATATAATTTACAAACAACAGTAAGATAGATTTTGCTAAATTTCTTAAAGGATTGTGTACACACATCCAGTATTTCAGGAATTAAAGAAAAACCTCTTGTCATGAGAAGAAGATTCAGCAATTCCTGGACCTTCACTCTTTATCTTTCTCAAGCAAGGCAGCAGAATGATTCTGGTTTTACTCATTCCTCAAAGCACTGCTCTTGGCTGGCTATCGAATGCAATTTATGTTCTATTTTTTTCTCACTTGTCTATAAAAGCCATTTTCATGCAGCAAAAGAGACATAGTCCTGAAATAACAAACCCAGCCCCTCAAAGTATGACAAGTTGTAGTACACCTTCATCATGCCTGCATGATGATTCTCATCTTATTTGTATACCCTGACAGGAGAATGATTACCTCAAAAGTAAGAAAACCCTTGCTTTAAAATTTCTGAACATTTAGCATTAACAAAAGATCAGGCTACTTCAATACAGCCATGCTTCACCACTGAAACAACAGAGCTCAGCTGACGAAGACAGCGCAGGTGCAATTTCTTAACAAAACTCTCCCACCACGTAGCAATGACAACATTGTCATATGTGAAAAAGTGCAAGGGCACAGAGAACAGGAGCAGACTTGCCCAGATGACTTGAGCACAGGCCTCTCTCCTGCAGCAGGATACATGGTCAGGTCCACTTACCCCAGCAGCTCCAGTCTCAGATAGCAAGAGAGCTCTTTGGCCAGCATGAGTTAGAGACATGTCAAATCATTTAAGATCAGAAATTCAAGTCAGCTTGCTCGTGCTCCCCAGAGCTATCCCAAGATGGATTACTACAAATCCCTTGCCAAACTTATGACTGACCGAGAAACTTGCTCTGTTAGGCTATTTGCCACCATAAAACAGGCAACAGAGATAAAATCCCTTCTACTTTTTTCCCAGTTAAAAACCATCAACATGCAACTGCTACCAAAGATGAGGATGTACAGCAGTTTGCATGCACTGCTCCACAGGATACTGACCCACAGGATACCACCAGTGCTGCTGCTGCTTCAGTGATGGTCCGTGCTACAGAAATTTTACAGACGCAGAGATTTTAGGCAGCAGCAAGTAAATACTGCGTGAGATATATCACAAATATCCCTACAAAACACAATGTGTTTATATAACAGGTGCCATAATTTTTTTCAGACTGGGTATTCTAGTAATTGTGATTAGCAAGGTTTACCATACACCTTTCTACCACATGTCTTTGTGCACACTTCACCTGCAAGACCCTTCTGCACTTGTGAGCATTATTCTTTCAATATTTTTACTAGTTTGAGCAGTGGATAGGTATTTTGCTTCCAAAAACACACATACAGCTACAAACATGGCTCACAGCACATATACAAATAGGGTGGGAGAAATACTGCCTCTGCAAAAATATGTGCCCAATATTCACGCCTACTTTAAGACTACAACACACAACTGACACAGCAACCACAGTGTGATTTTATATGCACATGTAAAATTATTGTTTGTGGCATTACTGAAAGGGAAGTCATAATTAGAATATGGAAAGAAAGAGATCTGAGCAAACATCCATGAAAAAATCTCTCTGGCAATTCAAGAATTCATAGTGCTCTCTGCTGCAAAACCAATAAACAGGTTATCTGAAGAAAGCTAATATCAAGAGCTGTAGTGTACTTGACTTATGTCATATTTTAAAAACAATATTGATTTAATAATAAAAACATTGATGAATACTTGGAATTCTTTCTTGTTTTTAAGAAAAATGGATGATGTTAGGAAAGGTGTAACAACTCCAGATGATGAGAAGGAAGAACAGTGACTTTTACCAGGTGGTAGAAAGATCCATGATCTTTTTGAATATTCCTACCTTATGTCCTTCAAAAGGATTGCCATTGGATTTTGCTCTCCTAGTTCTCCTTTCTTGCAATGCATTCATGTGTTAGCTTTTTTAATGAATGCCATTAATACAAGTTAAGTAATTTTCATTTCTTATTCTAATTTTTCTAAGTCTGTCTCCTTCATTAAATTGATAGAAGCCACCTTCTCCTATTTCCATTTGAGAAGTCTAGATCTGGACAGTTTAGATTTTAAAATACCTCAGGGAATCAAAGCTAGACAGCAGACTGAAGTGATGGCAAACACTGAATTAAAGCTCTGAGTACTGTTACTAGACATTAATTTTTTTCAGGTATTAACATATTTGCAAAACACTAAATGTAATCTCAGAGAATATTACATTTACATCACAAATGCAGAAAACTCCTGTCCAGTTCTGGTTAGTTTATTGGGTTTTCCTCAGTAAGGTGTGAAGAATACTGTTTTGTAGGTGCTCAAAAATGACTCACAGACTTTACATTCCTAATATAAATGTGAAAAGTACTGCTGGCTGAATACACTATTGTATTTGTCATTATGCCATTTCTATTAGCAGTTTCCAAACAGTGCTGCAAAATTTAAAGTTAATTGATTACTACATTTTAAAAATTTACCTGTTTTAACCTTAATTTTATTTTGACACGTTATTAATGTGAAATTATTACACTGATGAAAATACCTTGCAATAGGACACAGGCCAGAGACATTCTCATTAAAACATAATTGACTCAATGTTTGTACTATGATTTAACAGAGACCTTGGAACATGTTGTATTAAAGAAAGCCTGGGTTGTCAAACTTTGCAGAAAAACAATGTTTTTCCAACACATTTTGAAACTGCATTTCTGGCCAAAGAGAGCATTGCATTTGAAAAGCTGCATCTTTTCATGGCACAGCCGTATCATATGAAGATATTCATGAGGCATGGGGCAAGAGACAAGAAAGCACTTCTGAAGGAGAAGACAAAGAATGAGATGCAAGATGTTAGGTACCAGAACTGGTCATTAACTGCTGAAACTTGGGTGCTGCTTAAGCGTTCCACAGCTGAGAACTGCAACAAAATTGAAATTTACATGTATATCAATGCACATCCACTGAGTACAGCATCCAGCTAGGAGGTGCAAACACGTTCATGAGACTCTGGCAAGTCCAGAGGATAAATTCTGCGCTCTACTATCAGAGGTGAGCTCATACCGGAAAAATTAAGCCAAGAGCTTATGTAAATAAATTATGGTAATAAACCATAACCCCCTAAATGGCTCAAGTGCTAGTTCCTTTAATATTTTATATGCAATATTTGATTTTAATTATCTTATTTCTCATACACAGTAGTTTGTTAAAGAATGAAAAAAAACCAAACGAAAACTAGCTCATAACAGGAGAATGATCTGTATAGTAGTGCTGAAGTAAGGACAGAAGGAATTTTCTTTTTAAAAGAAAATTTAAAAGAAATTGCAGCTATGCAATGTGGGTATGTCTACACATTGTTCCAGTGATTTTAAAAGTAGTTTTCCACATATGTGCAAGGGAAGTGGCGTAGAGTCCCAGCAGGTGAGCAGAATCCACCTGCCAAAAAACTGATCTGGGCAGCAAAGATCTCACACAGATGCAGAAGGAGTTACTGCCTCCTGCTGTGAGTGCCTGGACTCACTGATCTTGGCAACAGCTCTCATGGGATTAACAATAGTCAAACAATACCAAATGTAAAGTGCATCATGAAAAACACATGGGAGGCATGAGGTGAAAGCACGATTAAGAATTTAAGATGATTTCCTTTCTTTGCCTTTTATGCAAGGAATACTTCATGAAGCTTTAGACCCCAAATGTGTTTTGCACAAAATAAAATCTTTGCTTACTGCAAAGGTTTGTAAATAGTAGTTATCTGATAGGACTTTTGTTATAATTATTCTTATAATTTTGGTTTAAATACTAGAATACAGGGAAACATACGTATCTGCTTAATACCCATTACTAGATGTAAACAGAAATTAAAATCTGTTTTTTTCTGTTTTGCCAAAAAGTACCCTTTATATTTCAGCTGAAATAAGCATAGCTTTTTAATATAGCATTTGTTGTTGGGCACTGAGATTATTTTGGCACAATTTTTGTAAATAATAGATTTATTATTAGATTTTCTTAATTGACTGGATGTTTTTTTAAACTCTAGGTCCCTGCAGTTCTCTTTGCGAGAATAAAAGGATGTTCTCTTATAAAATAATTAAGAACACTGAGGACTTTTTTTCGACTAGTAAGAATATTAATTGGGTTCACCATCAAAATGTGATAACATGTAAAATATCTTGTTTTGCATGTTAATGTTCCATAATTGCACAGAGCTTTTCAACTTCAAAGCTCTTTACACGAATTAAGTGGATGTCCCTGGAGGCCTTAAGCAACATTTTCTTTGCCTTCAAAAAGAAGATTTGCACCAGACAAAAGCTTTGTGAAAAACACAGGACTAGGCTTTTTTTTTTCAGTGTACTGTCATTGCACAGTGAGATAAATCACAAGCATTTTGCAGAGGGAGAGAAAGGGGGAACTTAACGGGACCATCCCTGCTCATCTCAAAACTCTGTACTTCACTTCGGTAGTGATGCACTGAGCAAGTAAGAAGCAAAATGCAACTCAGTTTTTCCAGAGCCATGCCAACATACATTTAAATTATTTCTTTACTTCCCTACCAAAGACCAAGCTGCTGAAAGTCCACTGATTACCTCCTACTGCAACCACTCCACATATAGTGAGTTGGTCAAGCACTCATGAATCAAAAAAAAAGCATTTGCTATAATTCAGCCAAAGGCTGTTACCTGGTACTCCACTTTGCTTCATCAAAAGTCATTTGAAAAGTCCCAAAACCCAGGAGAGAAATGGTTATTCCCTTATGTCAGTTAGACTGAAATCTACCACTCAGTATTTTCACACTGAACTTTCTTTTCGTTGTCTTTTAAACCATGCTACAATCAAGAAACTGCCACAGATGTTTACAACCTGTGTGCTAAAGAATGGGTATTTTTTCAGCACCCTTTGCCATAAGGGTATTTTTGGTGGGTACAAATAAAATCAACAAGTATTCCTCTTTGTACTTACCCTGTGATTTTTATGCCACTTCACTGGACACAGGGTGTAATACATTGGGTCTTTTTATTGCTCAAGTAGAAAGTGCTCATTACCTATTTATGTTTATATATAGGAAAAAACAAAGAGTTATTACAAGGGGCATACTTCACACTGTTGTAGTGGTTGACTTCCTCAAGATGGTCTTCTGGGGTTTTGGCGCAGTTTGTGGAGGCACAGTTGCAGGTCTCGGAGGAGGAAAGCTATTACTGGGACTTATCCCCAACCCTCCATTTTCCAGAAGGAACGGAGGCAGCGGAGGTGGAGGAGGCGGCAGAGGAGGGCACTGGTGAGGCAGCTTCCCTGCAACCCGGGCCGGCTCGCTGTGCAAGTGCACCTCCCTGTTTTTAATGTTATACCGAACGTCACAGTCGGGGCAGTAGCCGTGGTACTGCACTTTTTCACTGAACCGTACCCGCTCCCTCGCTCCCGGCTGAGCGCACCGCTCCTTCTCGGGTCTGTGCACCAGAGGCTGCATCACCACTTGCTCCAAGTTGCTGTTGGGAATGCAGCACATGTCTCCATTGGGGATGCGGCCGGGCCCGACGGGCAAGCCCCCATTTCGCAGCAGGGTGCCGTTGGTCTTGACTGGGTTGGCCAAAGAAGGCAGCCTGGGAGGCTCATCACATTTGACAGGTGTCAGTCGAGGGGGAGGAGGGGGTGGGTTGGGCTTCCGCAGCACGGTGAGGATGGCAGAGGGGTGCGCGGGGGGCTTGATGAGGGGCACGTTGCCGCGCACCTTGACCTTCTCCAAGCTGGAGGCTGTTGTGCTGCTGGAGCTGCTGTTCAGTGTGTCTGTCTTGGAACTGTCTGTCATCTCATCCTCCAGCTGCAGATCACATGTCAGTGTGTCAATCTGGTCAACCACCTGCACAACAGCCAGAGTGAGAATAGTGAGAAACGCATACCTCAGAGAAGGCACAGAAAAACACAACCATTCTCCACAATCAGTTTGTCCTCCCTAAAACTGAAGCATCTGGGTTTTTTTTGGCCTTTATTTCTTTATTCTTGTCAATGTAATAAAATAACCATAATAAAAATGATGACAATAATAATGATAGGGATGGCTACTTTGCTAGCTCATCACCTGAATACAGGAGAAATAAAACTTGAAACAGTCTAGAATGAAAATCCCTTTCTTTCCCTCCAGGGTTTACTTGGCAATATCATAGTGAGTGAAGTGTAATTCTTCAGTATTATGCTTTGCCTTCCAGTGCAGGAGGAGACAAAATCGTTCAGCTTTTGCTTCTACATGACAGCTTCTGCCCCCAAAAATTCTGCAGAGTATCTTTTAGCTCTGACCTTTCAAACACTCTAGATTTTAAGTATGCATTCTCTATATAGGTGATAATATACACGTAGAATCATAAGTTTGACACACAGTTTTCTGACGAATTTTTTAACATGAAAGAGACTCTGAGAAAAAAATTCTCTCTTGCATTATCTCCCTTTATGAGTACTTTCCGTAAGATCTGACATCCTCCAAAACAATCCTAAGATAGCATTTCCTGAAAGAGAAAATGTTGCTTGGTTTCCACTTACAAGTATTAAAGAACTCAGGCACTTTATTTGAAGTTTTCCTCTACCTCTCAGAATTCTGTTTTTAGATTCTACATTGTTAGATCTTTTCTAGTCCTCAACTCTCCCTTTTTCTACAGGCATGAAACCAACAGTGCATTTACTTGGCAGAGAAGTTTTTCATATGACAGTTAAAAGCCCTTCCCGAAAACTGCGTTTAACTCAGTACCCAGGTGAACAATTGCAGTTATAAGCTATGTGTAACTACAACAGATACTACAGGATGCACCACTAGAACACATTTAAAAACTGATCTCTGTCCTTCACAACCTCACAGGATGTACATAAAGTAATCAGTAGCTGAAATGTTGCTGACTAAATTTGGTGCATGAATAAAAACCGGTGCCATTTTTTTAGGCTCCTTGCAGGAGATCTTTGATGTCCTGGAAGAGGCAACCCAATAGATCTGAAATTATACCAGATGTGGCCATTGTGCCACAGAAACTTTCATTTCTACTTCCTGCTTCCAATAATTTGGTGCTGATACTACTGATTTCAAACTAAGACTATTTGTAGGCACATGAGCCATATATTAACTGCGAAAAAAGTGAAACTCACTACGGAGGCAGTGACTCTTTATTCAGTCAAACCAGTCACCCACTGACGTGGCCAGTAGTAAGAGGTAAATAATAGAAGCAAAACCACCACAAAATGAAAAAACTCTCCAGCTTTCACTGCTCATACAGTAAGCTGAGTTGCATAATACAAAATTCATAAAAATTCATACGCAGCAAAATTCAGTTTAGTGCTTTCCTTCTAAAACCAGCAAACATGCAAGTAAGCATCATTCAGAGAGCTTTCAAGCATCTTTGAGAAAACTTTACAATACTTTTTCTCTGAAAGACCAAATAACTCATTTATTCAGTATTCAAATCCCAGTATCATGTCGCATATAAATTTCTACCTTTTCCCCCAAAAAATAAAGAAAAAATATACTTCTAAACAACAGACATTGAATTTCTAAAATAGTAAGGATTTAAAAAAGTTATTCTAGAAGTTGAAATGTACAGTTGAACTCTGGTAACTGTCAGTCCCATACATCCCCTCCCCCAGGGTACAGCATATAAGAACTCTTTAGAATTTCAGAATAGGGGTAGACAAACCACATCTGTACCAAAATTCATTGCAAGACTGACACTTTACAGGTGAAGGAACTTCACCTTCCATTACATAAGCAAAATGAGGCAGAGAGAACGTCTCAGAAGGCAACAGGAACAAGGAAAAGAAAGTCAAGTTCTGAACTGTAAGCCTGAAATTTAAACATCCCTCTGTAAGCTAAGTATGGATTTGTGTAAATATTAAGGTCTGCCTATATATTTCTACTAAATATCCTACTGCATCCTATCATATTTTGTTAAACTGTAAGAGTGATAGAAAGGATCGATGCAACATGAACCAAAGAAATTCCTTGGCAAGCAAAGAAATAGAAAAATTATGCATTGCAGAGCAAAAATTTTTTTCAAGAGTAACAGGAAAGTCTGCTATGAACTGTCCTTCAAGTTAACGACTACAGAGTTTATCTCATGCCTTCTGGGCAAATGTGTAGTACGCATCAAAATTTTTTTTGTCACTTATCCGTTTGTAAAACATAAATCCAGCATGAAATGGCTCTGACACAACAAAACAGTTTATCTGTCCAGATTCATTCCCACTATGAGTTGTGATTCTGTGCACTGTTTTTTATTTTCATTTTTTTGTCCCAGAAGGTAAAATTCAAATAAGATGAAAAAGCAACATAAAGAACCCGTGACTAACACAGTGAAACGAAAAAAAGAAAAAGAAAAAAGTATTTTGAGCAAAAAAACCAACCAGCCCTTGTTTCACAATGCATCTTCTGTGGAAGTAAGAGAGAATATTAATTAAAAAAAAAAAAAAAAAGAAAACAGAAAAGCTACTGTAGTTGAGCAGAAATGTGTCCATTTTTTCAGTTCTGAATAAAATGGGACTTGATTTACATGAAAAAATACTGGGGATACATAATTTTATAGTCCAAATAGCTCCTTAGGTGTTAACTAGATTAATTTAGCTATTAACTCTTCAGATACTCCTTTTCTACTGCGCCAGCAGTATCCTCAGGCTTCAAGCTCTGTAAATCCAATGTGATACTCCTGAATGAAACAGGACATCAGTTTATTCTTATCTGCTTCCTGGGTTGGTACTGGACAACTATACTAGGTGCCCAGAGTTGGATTTCTCTATCAAACTGTAAGATTACGCCCTTAGCAACATGAATTTGGACTCAAAAATTCAGTGCAGCAATTAACAGAGCATGGAGAATTAATCAGTAAAATCAAGTTCAGGTAAGAAGGAAAAAATTACTATTTGACCCAAATTAACAACATAAAAAACCCCAAGACCCCAAAATACCTCACTGCAGTTGCAAACAATTTGCAATTCACAGGTATTTTACAGTTAACCAGATCCTCAGTGTTACCAAATTTGTATATAAAATTGCTTAAAAAAAATAAAGCTTGAATAAAGTATTGCTTTTCCACTGAGGAAACTCAAACTGCAGTTCCTGTTAAAAGGAACTTCAGAATCTAGTCCAAGAGAAATTCTTGTGATTATCGAAAGCAGCCTATGCTGACCCGATATTTTCATTGTTTGAGCTGTACTTTTAAGTTTTGTCTTGTGTTTACCTCCTCTTGTAGGCACTTCGTGGGAAAATGTCCTAACTTGATTAGACTAATACTTAAAACTCCACATTTCTCACAGGATACCAGGATCTCATTCCAAGAATCTAACTTTGTAATCATAGGACTAAAACATGACACAGAAAGTAACATGTACTTGCACTTCTTACTTGCATCCCTAAACCTCTCTGAAAAGTGTCTCTACAATCAGTCACAAACACTTTTTTCACTGTTTCTTTGTGTGATTATCTATTACACATCCAAAAATACATCTGTGGAGAGTTTTGTTGTCTCTTTACAATAAATGCTTCTTCAGGTTTGTTCTTTCTCTTGTTTAAAGGAAGGTACCAATGTTCAGTGAATATATAATCCACTAATCCACTGTTTGCCCTCAGTCTACCACAGACAATTGTTGAGCTTTTTTTGCAACCCTTAAATAAAAAAGCAAATTGCTTTTCAAGAAAGAAATTAATATACATTTAAAGATTCATGATTTTTAAAGTTCATAGAAGTAAAAATTTGTAATATTTCTCAAGATGTCCAGTCATCTGCATTGCTTTTTACATTTTTCAAAGATTCACGTGGATTTACAAACTAAATTTCTTTTTTTCTTTTTTTTTCTTTCTTTTTATTTTTTTTTTAATTACTTGCTTCTATACAGGCTAGTAGTTCTCAAAAGAGCTGCATAAACAGAATAGAACTTAGGTGATATTACTTCTGAGATGGAATAGGTATAATTCATATATTGCTCTTTTGTACTGCATCACAGCAGTGTGCAACTACCATGAGATTTAAAAGGAATTTTTGCTGGAAGTTTACTAGAAAATGAATAGTTACAGACAGATGCTGAATTTGATTTTAAATCAACCAAAATCAAATCATGCCATGAGACTAGCTCTTGCTCTGAACCAAAGAAATTAGTGGTAAAATGATCAAAATTAAATGGACAAAATAAATGGAATTAAATGTATTATTTTTTTTTTTTATTTTTAAAGCAATGCTAAAAACTTGCAAAGTTTGACATAGAAAATTATTGCACTTTATGTGCAGAAATTAACTACCTGAGAAGCCACAAAAAAAAAAAAGTTAGAATAAAAGAGCAATCAGCTCTACCATGAAGAGGCTGTTCTTGCCTTTAATTAAAGGACTGGGAAATATGCTATATCAGTAGCTCTAACATCTCATGACTGCATCTCTTATCCTACAAGAAACTGTTGACTTGCTATAATTAGTACTGGAATCTTCTATACAAGCTGCCAAACTATTTACATTCACATCACTTTAGCTTATTATTTCCTGTACAGTTATTAGACCTTTGTTGACAAAAAATGAATGAATGCCCAATATTCATGGATACATGAATGGGGGAACATGAGATTAGCTCAGCTGGTCAGATCATGATGCTAATACCACCAGGGTTGTGGTCTGATCCCTGTATGGACCATCCACTTAAGAATTGGCTTTGGTGATTTATGTGGGTCCCTTACCACTCAGAATATGCTGTGATTAGCTCTGTGGTATCTAAGGACACAAAGCCTTGTCCTGTAAATCCAAAATTACTCCAGAGTTATAAACAAATGAAACAGAAGTCCCTGTTAACAGTAAGTGAACCAGTATCTCCCTTTACAGTTTAAGCTGCATAACAGCAGAATAAGAA